GTCGTCGGCCGTTGTTCCAAATATAAATTGATACAGTATATTTGACACGAGTTGACAAGAGAGTACATACCGTCTTTTAACGTACCACAGTAAATGAAAATATTGTTGCGTATTTTGTATTTTAAGGCATTTAAAGTGTACTTTTAGCAGTGTAAATAAATTCCTATCGTGACTTTATTATTTATTGCGTTCTTATATTGCGACTAACTAAGGAATATAAGCCCCTCTGACACTGAGAGTGAAGGTATTGTTAAAGTGTTTAAATAATAAAAAAGTAAAGTATAATTAACTTACAAGCTATATACTTCCCTCTACTGGCTACAGGTCTCATTGCAGAGAGGGATTTTAGTGCGTGCAGCTATGCAGGTCTACTATGTATCCATGCGACCATGCGAACAGTAAGATCTATTGTGATCGGTGCTATCGCTATAGTTCACTACTAAGCCCTATTTTGTGAGCATTTTAGCACTTCTTCTATGCATAGTATGTAGTTTCCCATAGATGAGTGAGTTGAGAGGGTTATGAAGCTATTAGTTAGCGGCTCTGCTCCAGTGCGTGTTAACAAACTTTATATGTCCTCGAAATACGTATTACATAGACATGCATCTGTCCTCATGATGCTTTAGTCCTCCGCCGAGCACTTGCCAAATCAGCACCTAAAATTGCAATTAGCAATTTTACTGGTCCCGACAGCGGCACTCCTTAAATTGTATGCGTACACGAACAAAAGTCCGACCCCTGTCATGACTACTGAAATAGTTTTTCCAATAACTGCCTGGTTTATATAAGACACCGTCAGAATAACAGCATCGCACTGCGCCCTCTTTTCCTCTGCGCCCTCTTTTCCCAAAAGAGGGTCGCTTCCGATACGGCATAAGAAGCTTTAAACAGCTGGTTGCCAGTCCCCAAAGGCGGTTTTTTAGAGGGTATCACTTAGGTTCCCCCGGTAGGCAGTGAGTCCCTCATAACCACGATAGACCGGCTGTCGTGGTATGCGTAATGCATTTCCGCCTCCCTACATAAAGGGTAGCCCTTTTCCAATTGCTTCGGGCGCAAAAAAAAAAATAACAGCGTCGCCAACTACTACAGCATCATTGTAAGTCAGATGCCTTTTCGTTGCTACAACCTCATGTATATCAACTGTGTTTTACAGATCTACTTATATTTTATAGGAATTTAAAATAATTTCATATATTATATACTAGCTTTTAGCTCTGCGGTGTTATTCGCGTCTAAGTTGATCGTCCAGACAGTCATGACTTACGCTTATTATGAAATCGCATAATACGGAGAGGTCAAGATATAACATATAAACTTTCTCATATTTCGGAATGATAATAATCGGGTATTTTAAGTTTGACAAATAGTGAAAACTAGTCTAATAATAATCTTTTTTTTTTATAGGACAAGGGTGACAAACGAGCACACAGTCCACCTGATGGTAAGTGGTTTCTGCGGCCCATAGACATCTACATACATCCTCTCTTACAAGTCAAAATGTAGATGCGTTGTCACCCGTGAGTACTAAGATGGAATGCCTCATTTTCAGTAAAAAGGGCCTCCGGCCACCTGCACTCACCAAGCGAAACGCAGAGGTAAACCTCTATTTCACGCTGGTTTTCTGTGAGGTCGTGGTACCACCCCGGTTCGAGCCGGCCCATCCGTGCGACAGCAAAAGCTGCCGCGTGGCTCTACCACTGTTAAAAATCTTTCTGTTCGTACTCCAATATATACATCTTTTTTCTCTTTATTAAATTATTTTCTGTATCAGCGCTACGCTTAACAGTGGTAGAGCCACGCGGCAGCTATTGCTGTCTCACGGATGGGCCGGCTCGAACCGGGGTGGTACTACGACCTCACAGAATACCAGCGTGAAGTAGAGGTTTACCTCTGCGTTTCGCTTGGTGAGTGCAGGTGGCCGGAGGCCCTTTTTACTGGAAATGAGCCATTCCATCTTAGTCCTCACAGGTGGCAACGCATCTGCATTTTGATTCGCAAACGAGGATAGATGTAGATGTCTATGGGCCGCAGCAACCACTTATCATCAGGTGGACTGTGTGCTCGTTAGTCACCCTTATACTATAAAAAAAAACGCTTTCGAAATGAAAATAAAAAATAAAAATAGAACTTCTTGTCCTTCATATTTGCCGTGCTCAATTTTTTTCCTTTAATAATCTGCTTACGCTTATTACTTGGAACTTGAATATTTCTCATCATCCTAAATATAAAATGAGTTAATGCATTTTACTGTCAAGAAATGCTTAGTAGCAACGCGGAGTCAGGAAGTTGGAGGCGTTTCATCCCCGTGTCTTAAAAGGCACGTAAAGCCATTGGTATCTCTGTGCTCTCTTTGGTTGCTTCGAATTGCCATTCCATCGCGCTATGAGAGTGAAGGATAGAGAGAGTACTTGTGCTTGACCATACAATGCTGCATTATAATCCTGCCCTGTGCGAAATTTGGTCTGGATGACATTATTTCAATTATACTTCAGTTCCTTTCTTGTATTAGTTCTACTTTTCTCAACTGTCAGCATCATGCGTAACCGTTTATGTTTTTTTAATGCAATTATTTACTTTATGCTCACCACACTCAAAGCAATTCTTTACGAAATAAGGTCGACTACAAGAAGTTGCTTCCAGAGCGATAAAACCGCCTATTGTACCTTCTTTATTTATCTCATTCCGTTTTTGTTTGAATGTGTTACTTAGTTTCTAATCGAATGCGTATTAAATTTTTTGTAAAAGAAATAAAAATTTTATACTTTATAGTTTTGATTGGAAAATATTTGAACCAGTTTTCTTTGTCTGACTACGTTTAGTCTGAGCAGGTACATACCAATATCTACTGCAAACCAGCAGTGTATTCATTGTTGTTTTATCGTGTAAAGTACGGAGAGTACCTACAGTATAATTGCAGGATGTAAGGCGTTACGTTTTAGTACTTATGGTTAACAACTGTAATCTTCCACGAATCAATTATAATGTACGTACCACACAAGTAACCATATTTTTTTTTATAGGAGAGGGGGCAAACGAGCATGCGGCTCACCTGATGGTAACTACCGCCGCCCATGAACAACTGCAACACCAGGGGAATCGCAGATGCATTGCCGGCCTTTTAAAAAGGAGTACGCTCTTTTCTCTCTTCTTTCTCTTTTCTCTTTTCTATACATGCACATGTTTAGACTTGCACAAGTATATATCATTCTAATTCCACAATTATCTACAATATCCTTCCTGTGAGTGGCGGAATACGCCTGATGGGTTGAAGAGTAATGACATCAATTGTTGACGCTTTACCAATAGATGGCTCAATATTCGCTAATAAAACACTGATCATAAAATTAATGAATCGCATTTTATGATATACAAAATATATCTCATACTCAGGTTTTGTTTCACATAATCTAATCACTAGCTAGGAAATTAAAGATCGGAAATTGAAACTATGTTAAAACTTACACAAGTCTAAAATTTGTTCTTTCAACACACGTAACTGTAATCTTGTGCAAGTCTAAACTTGCACATGTATAACGCGGCTGTCATTACGGCGTACCGCAGAAAACAAATCACTTTAGTTATTTTTGTTATCCATTCCTATAATTATATTAGATGGACATTCAAAATGTTGATACACGACTAAAAGTTTAAAGCTTATTTTTTACTGAATTAAACACAGTCCACCTGACAGTAAGAAGATGCTCTGGCTCATAGATATTTACAACTATCAAGGAATATTAATTAATCTAATTAATCAAAATGCGATTGCGTTGGCAAAATATAATGCCTCGTCACCAGTGGAAGGGCACTCGGGTTTCGTTACTTACCATAAGAAATTCAACGACATTATCCTGCATGTCCTTCTCTGATAAAGTCGACCCATTCGTGCTATAGCTATAGCCTGCTTTATCCTGACTCTACCAACCTACCTACCTATCATTTTGAATATAAATAAATATATATGTAGGCATAACTTCTTTCAAATTGATATTTAAAATAAGAAGTATATTTATAATAGAAGATTGTATATTTAAAATAGAAGAACTAGAAGTAGCTATCTGAGCAGGACAGGCTAATAGTACTCGAGTGTATGCACAAGCACAGGTGCACTCTCTATTTTCTCACTCTCATAGTCCAATGAAACGGCAATTCGACATAACCGGAGAACGATCAGGCGCAGGTATAACGGTTTTAAGCTTTGTGAGGCACGGAGTTGAAACACCGCCAACTTCCTAACTGCGGGCTGCAACTGAGAATTTCTTTACAGAAAACTCATTAACTGCTTTCACTTGGCACCTCATAATCAGCAGCCGCATTTAATCACTACTAGACTAACTTACAACTGATTTAATGCTCTTATTAAAACATGTTTTAACTTTTTTTTTACTTATTATAAGCCAGTGACCACAATCCCACCTGGTGGTAAGTGGTGATGTTGCCTTAGATGGTAAATCGCACTGTCTTATCGTAACAAAAAATCACAATTTCTAGAGTCTTCATTCATTCCTTATTTTATGCATAAAAATTATTATTCATAAAAACCAAATTTTTGAATGATGACACAGAAGATTTATATACATATTCAATAACAACAGAAATACGAACTATTTAAATGACAGTAGCAATTAAAATAATAATAATAATAATAATAATAAGGGGTGTAAGGGAGTCAATTGGGGGAACGACTCCAAGCCAACCTCACCTGCACGTGGTGCACCCTGCTGTCAACAAACGAGGCAATGGCGAACCGACCGATGGCGGTATACCCATCTAAGAGGCTACATAGGGCTCTTAGGCACAAGTGCCTTATCGAGGCTTAGGTAGTGCAATTGACATTAGCGTGGGATGTCAGTTTTAGGGCGGCGGCGGAGGAGTATTTTGCATACCAACGGTGGCGCCCATAGGCTCAGTTAGGAAGTCTACTGCGACTCATCACTATTGGACAAACGTGATGGGTAACTTTTGTCCAAAAAAAAAATATGAGTAAAAATAAGAAAAACATGCCCCTAGTGCCCGGCTTACGGGGCCAGATGAATCTCCGGGCGGGGATCTCTCGCAAATATCAAACGACCAATGCTAGTCTCTCGGACTCCGATGCTTCTGAATCGATTTCTTCATCAACAGCTACGGATGTTGTGCAGAAGGCAAGCGCCGATAACTCTGCACCCGCCAAAGCTAGTAAATGTGCACGCAGGAAATGGAGTGAGGATATGAATATCTTTATACTGCGCACATACCTTACTATCACATCTATGGAAACTAAAAATATTAGGTCATACCTTCCCCAACTTCATGCAAAATTTATAGAAAAGTACCCAGATATGGATGTTAGCAGACAGCGAGTAGGTGACCAACGTAGGGCAATAACTAACGGTAAATTATTAACAGCTGAACAGGTTCAAGTAATACGTGACGAAGTGAAAACCTACTTAGACAATAACCCTAACAATGAGCACCCACAAAATAATAATAAAGTAACCGGTAACCAAAGAATGCACTGGGATAATGATTTAAATGAATTCATCATAAAAAGTTTCTACAGAATTACTACAGTCGGGACAAACAAAACTGCTTACAGACGCCCTCTACATCAATCTTTTATCACCAAATTTCCACATCTTTCTCACGTATCTGAGCAACGCATAGCAGATCAATACAGAGCAATCATCAATAATAAACTGTTAAGTGAAAGCAGACTCCAAGAGTTACAGGATGAGATTGCAATAGAGATGGCTACCCAGAATAAAACAGCAAATAACAACACAGAACCTGACATATTCTTGCAAGATAATTATAGATTTGACTTTACCCAACCCGCCACAGATAATTTAGAGACACATGAAAGCCTAATTACACCCAGCAATACACAAATTTACCCGGATAGAATAACACCCCCAGATTATAACGCAAAACAAGTACAGGAACAGAATGAAAACCAACAAAATGACGATAAACTTCTTGGGGACATACGAAATAAAATTGATGAGACATTTGTAATGCTTTTAAATAAATATAAGTACGTCGATCCTACAACTAGACCTAGCATACCTAAACAAAAGACTTCTAAAAAACTAGCGCGTATTGTACACTACATTAACCAATCACTTCTTCCTGTCCATATACCACCCGATTCAGACTTTCACACAATCCAAAATGCTATATATTGTGGAGCTGCTACAGTTTCAATTTACAATGGATACAAAATAATGGACCAAGAAAATAACGCCTCACGTCGGAAGAAACGAATCCCTAAATGGCAAATGAGATTAGAAGACAGAATCTCAAATCTTAGAGTTAAAATAGGGAGACTAACGGAATATATAAATGGTAATACAAGCACTAAGCTTAAACGCGAAATAGAAAAAATCAGAGCAGCTTATAGAATACATTCACTGCATGAACACGAAAACAAGGAACTAGCCCATTTTCTAGACACCCTCAAACAAAAGCTTAGTTCACTTGCAAACCGACTACGCAGATATAAAGAAACTACTCTAAGAAAACAACAAAATGCCCTATTTTATAATAATGAAAAATCATTCTACAGAAACCTAACAAACACACATGACAATAATGATAATAATAAATTAGTAGAGATACCCGAAACAGAACTGCTGCATCAATTTTGGTCAAATATATGGTCAACCCCGAAAACACACCGAGAAAGCGACTGGATTAAACAGGATAGGGAACTATTAGTAAATTTACCAGAGATGATGTTCGATGAAATAAACATGGATTTATTAACTTCAGTTATTAACAAAACACATAGCTGGAAAGCGACTGGAACCGATAAAATCCATAACTATTGGTATAAAAAATTTACTTACTTACATCCGCTCTTACTCTCACATATCAATACTTTTATAAAAACACCAGAATTATTGCCAAGCTACATTACACTAGGAACAACTTATATGTTACCTAAAGACCGAAGCGACTCAAAAAATCCAGCCAAATACAGGCCAATTACTTGTCTCCAAAACATTTATAAGATTATTACGTCTTGCCTTAGCCAATTAATTTACAAGCACGCTATCTCCCAAAATATATTAGCAGAACAACAGAAAGGATGCAGAAAAGGTAGTTTAGGTTGTAAAGAACAGTTGATTATTGACGCATTCGTCTCTAAACAAGCAGTCACCAAAAAAAGAAATATTTTCACTATGTTTATTGACTATAAAAAAGCGTTTGACTCAGTACCCCATAGCTGGCTAATATATATTTTAGAACACTATAAAATTCATCCTCAAATTATAGAATTCTTAAAAAACGCAATGCTCGACTGGAGAACTACACTCAAGCTTTACAATGGTGACTCTTGTTTAGAGACTGATATAATCGCAATCCGAAGGGGAATATTTCAAGGTGATGCCTTAAGCCCTCTTTGGTTCTGCCTGGCTTTAAATCCTTTATCTAACCTTCTCAATAGAACTGACAAGGGATATAAAATCACCAACGGAAATACACACCACACACTATCACATTTACTTTATATGGATGACATAAAATTGTATGCAAGTAGTTTAAAAGATATACATATTCTTGCTGATATAACGGAAAGCTACTCAACTGATATTCAAATGGAATTTGGAATAAATAAATGCAGGATACAATCAATTCGTAGAGGCAAATCAGAACAAAATTCATATACTCTCCAAACAGGTGAAACCATTGAACCTGTAGATGAAGTCATTGGCTATAAATATCTAGGATTCACTCAGACTCGACAGATTCACCAAAAACACGTTAAAAAAACATTAGAAAAAGAATTTAAATTACGCCTAAATAGAATACTTAACACACATCTAAATGCACGGAACATCATTAAAGCAGTGAACACATTCGCTATCCCAATTTTAACTTATTCGTTTGGTATAATTCATTGGTCAAAAAGTAATTTAATAAAGCTGCAACGTCTCATCAATACAACAATGACTAAATACAGACAACACCACCCTAGATCTTGTAACGAACGACTCACATTACCTAAACTAGAAGGTGGAAGAGGTTTAATAGATATAAAAAATCTTCATAACTCTCAAATTTCAGCTATTCGAAACTTCTTCCATCAACAAGCCAATAATAGTGCGCTTCATAATGCTGTTGTCCAAGCCGATTTTAAACTCACTCCTTTAAACCTCAACGATCAAAGAAAACAAAAGAATGAAAGTATTATATCTGCACAAGATAAAATTAACAGCTGGCTGCAGAAGACGTTACATGGAAGACACCGTCGCGACTTGATGAACACAAACGTAGACAAGATAGCGTCTAACATGTGGCTCAAGCGCGGAGAACTCTTCCCTGAAACGGAAGGCTTCATGTTAGCAATTCAGGACCAAACTATACATACTCTAAACTACAGGAAACACATAATTAAAGACCACACTCTACAATCAGACCTTTGCAGACATTGTCATAATAGCTCAGAAACCATTCAGCATATCACTGGTGCCTGCAGCTCAATAACCCAGACCGACTATAAACACAGACACGACCAAGTAGCTGCCATTATTCATCAATACCTCGCATATAAATATAATCTTATAGATGAAAAAATAGCATATTATAAATACAAGCCCGAAATCATACTTGACTCTCGTGAATTCAAACTCTACTGGGACAGAACTATATTAACTGATAAGACCGTGCATTATAATAGACCGGATATTACGCTACATGACAAAAAAAATGAATCAGTTTATCTTATAGATATTGCTATACCAAATACGCACAATTTAACTTCCACCTATAATGAAAAAATAGCCAAATACACTGATTTATCCATCGAAATAAAATCCCAGTGGAAAGTAAAAACTGTAAAAACTGTACCTATTATAATATCTGCAACTGGCGTCATTCCCCGTTCACTTTTTTCTAGCTTAAAGGATCTAGACATCCATAAACTTACCTTTATATTGCTGCAGAAAGCAGCAATATTGAATACGTGTAGAATAGTCCGTAAGTTTCTGTCTAAAGATTAAACATTCAACCGAGTTCGTTTGGCTAACAGCCCGCGAATAAGGTTTAATACCTCGGAAACGAGAGAATACTAATCAGAAAGAATAATAATAATAATATTCCACAACTATCACACAACGCCATCTAGTCCCAAGCTAAGCAGAGCTTGTGTTATGGGTACTAGACAACTGATAAACATACTTATATATTTCTAAATACATAAATATTATAGATAAATTACACCCAGACACAGAACAAATGATCGTGCTCATTACACAAACATTTGTCCTGGGTGGGAATCGAACCCACGACCTCCGGCATAGCAGTCAGGGTCACTAACCACTAGACCAACAGGCCTGTCATAAAAGGTACATAAGTACGCCTACAATATATGTCCCGTAATGCAGTCCTTAATTTCCCAGCGTAGGAGTAATTGCCGTGGATGGTGAAAATAATGACGTCGGCGTAAGTCGTAAAGTGGAATATGAGCTAGCTCACAGCTCATTTTATGAATGCGTAGGCTTTTGTCTTATACCAAATTATAATAAGAAGACGAAGTGGGGTTCAGACAGATGCAGAACAAGCCATATTGCTGATAAAAGTAAAATATAAAATGCTCATATCGCTTATATGCTGTAAATTACATCTGTCTTTATATTGATTGAATTATATTGATAAAAGAATTGTTAAAAAATGGCTTTTGTTATTTGAAGTTATTTGGGAAATCATTAGGTAAAATTGTTTTGGTTTATTTTTTATATTCTTTTTTAAATGCATATATATTTACGTGGCAGAGCCACGCTGCAGCTATTTTAAGGTTGTAGCACGAATGGGTCGGCTCGACCGGGGTAGGACCCCGCTCTCACAGAATACCAGCGTAAAATAGCAGCTTGATGCTGCTGTGTTTCGTATGGTGAATATAGAGAACCGTAGACCCTTTTTACTGGAAACGAGGCAGTCCATCATAGTTCTTTGGCTTACCCCATTTCGTCCAGTGGATATTATTTTTTGTATAGAATAGGGCGACAAACGAAACTACATCGTGGATTATATAATGCTGTGTGCTCTAAAATGTTACCACTTTCTTATAATTTCTTTTTTATAGGATAGGGTGACAAACGAGCACACAATCCACCTGATGGTAAGTGGTTGCTGTGACACGTATAGGTACAGTTACAACTATCCTTAATAAAGAATCAAAATGTAGATGCGTTGTCACACGCGAGGACTAAGATGGAATGCCTCTTTTCACGTAAAAAGGGTCTCCGATTCTCCACATTCACGATACGAAACACAGTAGCTTTATGCTGCTATTTTGCGCTGGTATTCTATGAGAGCGTGGTCCTTCCCCAATCGAGCCGAATCATGCTACAACTATACTACTAATATAGCTGCAGCATGGCTCTACCTCGTATATTTAAATATGTTATAAGGCGAATATAGAAAATTTTAGAAAGATCTTGTGGTTTCCGATAGATAGGGCTTTAACTGTCTTTTACGTCAGCTACGTAGAAAAATACCTAAAAAATCCGTAGGTCAAGAATGATGATATAATCCAATCCAATCAAAACATAAATATGAGAAAAGGGGCCAAGTTCCGTACAAAAAAAATACAAATATAAGTTTTATTCATTAATTAAAATGAATGCAGACATTCAACTTTTTTTCTTGCGTACTACTACTTTAAAGTGTACGCTTTTGTTGTTGGTTTCCATTTTATAAGAAAGTGAAGACGAACGAAAAAGTGGCGACCATGATAACGGCGAGGCAGGAGGTGCTAAGAATCTCCGGTGGACGTTCGGTTGCCACTTAAGACGACTCGACCTGGCAACATACAACGCACACACCCTGAGGACTGACGAGAAGATCGTGGAGCTGGAAGAAGAGATAGACAAGTTACGCTGGCATATTATAGGATTATCCGAAGTCCGAAGAGAGGGCACGGGCAAGGAGGGAGGACACGGTTATCCTCGAATCCGGCAGCTTGCTCTATCACCGGGAGAGCGACCATCTGTCCCAAGGAGGTGTCGGATTTATCGTCTACAAGTCTCTCGTTAACAACGTTGTAAAGATTGAGAGTGTGTCGACGAGGGTTGCGTACCTTATACTCAGAATCACCAAACGGTATTCGCTGAAGGTCATACAGGTTAAAATGTTGACAAAATTATTGGCGTGATTAATTTCAAATACAGTACTTAAACAAACCGCACTTAGTTACAAATATAGTACTGGAAACAAACCGCACCAATAATTTTGTCGACACCGTTAAATTTCGTGTTTTTAAATAACCTATAAGTGGCATTTGATAGTGTAGGTATTTGATGAGTGAATCAGTGAGCGATAAAAATTTCACTTTTTTATGATAGCGTGGTCCTTCCCCGGTCGAGCTGACCCATTCGTGCTACAACCATAATATCGCTGCATGACTCTACCACTCTAAAGGTATATTACGGTAACGAAAAGTAAAATAAGTTATATTAAGGGGATCTTATCTTGCAAAATTACAAGAGTGCAGGTCTAATGGTTCGTGTAAATATGCACATAGCCCTGTAGCCCTTTTTTTCTCCTTCTTTCCTCTTTTCTTTTCCTTATGTAGCGAGGATCTAGATATACTGTAGTGTGACGTAATTTTATTTCCTAATTTACAACTAGAGAATAAAAAGCTGCGGTTGCCAACCCTCGTGCCAAGCGTGGCAACTATGGGAAACATTCCCCTTATGAGTTAATCTATGGGGAGGCCAATGTTCAATGGACTTTAATAGGCTATGTTAGTACTTTGATAGGAAGTAAATAATTTGACGATGATACTATTTTTTTGAGAAAGATTCACGTTGTGACATATTTCATGAAAATATGATGACATTGAAACACCATTGCTAGTTGTGGGTACTTTACATGTTGAGCCAAAGTAGGTAGGTGCTTCATTACAGTGGGAAAGTGGCTTCCTTCGCTATTATTTGTATAAGCATAACATCATATGGGGTTAACCTTCATCGTTGCCGTGCAATGGAAATTTCTTTCTAGGAAACGCTAGGGAAGTCTTACAACTTCTACTAGATGTCGGTTGTGCCTCTTCTCTGGTCTCCCTTCTCTTTAAAGGAAAATAAATAATTAAATAAATCATAATTTCGAATGGGCTAGATGTAAAATACCCAGTTTGACGATGGACAGGAGCTTCAGACGTGCGAAACTTTTGGGACCTAAGTACCAAGCTTGCCAATCCGCTTGCCATTTTAAACCCTTCTGAAATTAGAAGAGGCCTATATCTAGAGATTGCCTGTTAGGAACGTTTAAAGGAAAATAAATAATTAAGTAAATCATCATGACTAATAAAAAAGGAGATATTCTATAACACGCAAATAAAACGAGGCATCTTATAAATAAAGAACAGAATAAAAAAACATAATACATTCACAATAAAATATATATCCACACGACTGCCGATACCGACAGCAATCCTTAATATAACACATATAGTTTAGATATATTATTATGTAATTCAATTTCAATCTACACAAACATTATTTACAGTAAATTACAAAATTACTGTATTTTATAATATATTGTAAAATTACTAAAAGCTATTTCTTCAAATTACTATTGGGTATTTTATGACATCTCATTTTGATCATTTAAAAACAGTAAAATAATTTATAATATGTATATTGCGAAGGTTTTATCTTATCCGAACCTCCTTTCAACTGTGGACATTCTTATTCTTATTTTTATTTTATTTTTAACTCATTAATTTCAATTTACCAAAAATATACTGCAATATCTTTCCATTTTTAAATCCTCTACCTCCCTTGTAAAGTATTTCAGGTGGAAGGATTAGATCATTGATGGACAGGCAAATTACTCAACGGATTGGTGACAGTAAGCCGATAAAAGCGAGCTTTGCAGCGGCGCCAAAGTGCTACAGTCAAACGCCTATCTCGCGGATTATATAATGTTACCTGCTGTGAAATGTTATAATTTTCATATAAATTATAAGTAACCTTACTTAATTATAAATGGAGAGAGTATACATATCTTTCTGTAGGCATTTTCTTATTAGTATTGTATACTAGATGGTACCAGGCGCATTGAATATTGCGCAAGAAATAATTAGTGGAAATAATGTTTTAAATTTTTAACGTAGTGTAACTATATTGTTTAAATAAATTGTTTAATTCGGAATGAGTGTATATTAATTTGAATAATATAAATTTTCAAATACATTTGTTGGTATGATAGGCGCGCAACCTACTGTAAATTAATTGTACTATGCCTATAACTTTCGAACAAGTGCAAGGAATAAGTTGACAAAATTTTACCGCAATCTGATGAACGCTATGGCAACGCATAAAATACGAACAAACATATATTGACTTTTTTATGTTAGATTTTTATTAATTTCGACTGCCCCAACGGTCTAGTGTTCGTAAACACGACTGATAATCATGAGGTCCACACGTTGAATCCTGGGTCGGCCCAAAAATCATTCATTGAGTTTCAAGAAATTCTCAGTAGCTGCCCGGAGTCATGAAGTTGTCGATGTTTCACCTCGTTGCACATACACTCGCAACTTAAAATAATAATGAAACTGGGAGGCCTATCTTCGGCAATGCATTTTTGATGCTGCACATCTCCTGTTTTAGTTTCCCTCTGTCATCTTTTACGACACTTCATAACTTATAATGCAAAGAAATTAAAAAAAAACAATACACACGTGTAACATACGAAAACTGCTGTAGCAGTGGCGCCATGGCCACGAATTTGTTATTTCATCGGTGTCTTATACAAATCAAGCAGTTATAGGACAAACTATTTCAGTAGTAATGAATACCGCCGATGAAATTTCGACAGAACACGATAATACAATAATAACAACGCTATAAATAACTTTTTTTTTCACTGCTAAAATACACTTTAAATACGGTGAAATACAAAATACGTACCTAACAATATTTCCGTTTAGTATGGTACGTTAAAAGACGGTAAGTACTCTGTCAACTTGTGTCAAGTATACTGTGTCAATTTA